GAGGCCTAAAAGAGCAATAGAAAGGCCTCCAACCACTTCCTTGGTGACTGAAACTGAAGTCTACGGCCGGGCAAATGACAAAGACGCAATCTTTGAATTGATTTCCAACAGGAATGTTGCTGAAATCTGTGTGATTCCCATCGTTGGCATGGGAGGGATTGGCAAGACAACTCTTGCTAAGCTTGTCTACAATGATACTCGCGTAAATAATTATTTTGATCTCAAAGCGTGGGTATGCATTTCTGAAATTTTTGATATCATGGATATAACAAAATCAATTTTGCGAGAAGTTGGTTCTGAACATAATATTGATCAATATTCTTTGAACAAGCTTCAAACAGAATTGAAGGAGAAGCTGTCTGGAAAAAAACTACTTCTCATTTTGGATGATCTTTGGCATCAAAACCCTAATGATTGGGCTGATCTACTAGCCCCTTTTGGAGAAGGAACTACAATTATTGTGACAACCCGTGATCAAAGTGTTTCATCAATGACGAGAACTGTCCGAGCTGATCACACGCTGCAAAAGTTGTCAGATGAAGATTGCCTTTCTGTATTAACTCACCGTGCATTAGGAGCAAAAGATTTCACTAGGCATCCGAATTTAGAAGAAATTGGTCGAAAGATTGTGAAGAAGTGCAACGGCTTGCCTTTGGCAGTTAAGACCATTGGAGGCCTTTTGCGCAATAAGGTGGACCTTGATGCATGGAAAGATATACAAGAAAGTGAGACTTGGAATTTACCAGAAGAGAGGAGTAACATAATTCCAGCTTTACGAATAAGCTATCATCATCTTCCTCCATGTCTAAAGCGATGTTTTGCTTATTGTGCCATACTCCCCAAAGACTATGAATTTACTGAAATGGAAATAGTCTGGCTATGGATGGCTGAAGGCTTTCTACAAGTGGAAGCTGTGAAGCAAAATGAAGATTTGGGTAAGGAGATTTTTCAAGAACTCGTGTCGAGGTCATTTTTTGAAATATCCAGTCATGACAAGTCTCGATATGTAATGCATGATCTGATTAATGATTTGGCTCAATCAATCACCAAAGAAATATGCTTCAGAGTGGAAGGTGACAAGATATTGAACATTTCCAAACATGCTCGCCACTCATCTTACATTGGAGGTTGGAGAGATGGAATTAAAAAATTCCAAGTCTTTTATGGAACGGAGCATTTAAGAACCTTCCTACCGTTGAAGCTGCCAAACAAAGGGGGTTGCTATATATCGAATCAAGTTTTGAGTGATTTGTTGCCAAAATTGAAATGCTTAAGGGTGCTTTCTTTAGAAGGGTATCACTTGACTGAGTTACCTGATGTTTTTGGAGATTTGATACATCTGCGTTATCTCAATTTTTCTTACACTCGAATCAAAACCCTACCCGATTCAATATGCAAGCTTTGTAATTTAGAGACCTTGATTTTGCGGATGTGTCATAATCTCGAGGAGTTTCCTTCAAGAATGAGAGATTTAATTAACCTAAGGCATCTTGATTTTACTGGTGCAAA